AAGAAGAAGAAGAGGAGGAGGAGGAGGAGGACGAGGAAGAAGAAGAGGAAGAAGAAGAAGAAGCAGAAGAAGGAGAAGAAGAAGAAGAAGAAGAAGCGGAGGAGGAGGAGGAAGAAGAAGAGGAAGAGGAGAGGCGGCTTTGTGATGGGAAGGCATTCCTGGGACCGAGTCGCCTTCTTCGCAGGCAGCCTTCGAAACAAGAATTTGGGCTTGGCGACAGGGAGGGTCCTGCCGGACCTGGAAAACTCCACAAACTCGCGTCTTCTCCCCACCCGCCCCGCTGCCCTTGCTGCTCTCGTAAGTCGTGCGTATGTGTATTTGCGTGTCGGAATCGGGGGAAAAAAGTGCGGGCAGCGGGAGGGGACGAACGCGCGGCGGGGATCTCGGACCTGTTAAATGGGAGGAATTGGTGGCTGGGCGGTGGCGATCCACAAGCCCCTTGACTAACGTGCTTTGTAACATGGTATCGCGTGGGACGTGGTGGGGCTGCGGGTTAAACCGCAGAAGAATCTGTGCTGCGAGGTTAGAAGACCTGCAGTCGTGAGATCGAATCCACGCGAGGGAGGGAGGAGACGGGGATGAGCACCCCGTGCCCTGGAGTGTGGGACCCAAGTGGACTAAATGTCAAGGGGAACCTTTACCTTGACCATCGCCTTGAAAACTCAGTTCAGAGTAACGTGACAGTGGTTGGCGTGCTGCTTTGAGAAGCTGGAACAAGAAAAAGCACGCGCATGTTTGGGTGTATGCCCACATTTGGGGATCAAAAGGAGAGCAAGAGTCGGGGTGATCGGGACCAAGGGAGCCATCGCTAGAATTAAAAACAGTCACGTTTGAGGGCAAAGGAGCTGCATACCTCTGGTGGAACCAAGTAATCGAGTTCGATTCTGGACTTTGCTCCTGTTCTGCCAGAGGACACCCCCCCCCCCAGCATCTAAGCACTGGATGCCCCGGGCGGGCCCCTAGCAGGATTGTAAAAGGAAGCCAGGCTAAGAAATAAGAAATCACCTTGAGCCCCCTTTTGGAAAGATAAGGTAAAGGTATCAAAGTAAGAAAGAAAACGGAAACCCAGAACAACTTGTCAAAAATTATTTTCTTGTAGGTAAAGATGTACATACATGAGCTTCTCAGCAATAAACTGAATTGAGAGATGAGGCTGTAGAAGGTGTCGTAGAAGAAGGAAACAAGCAGGCAAATAATACGGTCCTGTGTTACGTTTAAGTTTAAAGACTGTTCATTAATTTTTATGGACTAACTGAGCTTGTATTTGATCAAATGGGTTCCAGCTGTTCATAAAAGGATATATGGCAGTAAATTGGTTAGGTGGTGGTTCTTGACTTTGAGGCCATAGACAAATAGTTGTTCTCTGATATTTTATCTATGGAAGGCTGGTGAAGGAGATCTTTCCAAATACTTTATGCCTCCAAAATCAATACTTTCTCCATATTCATTACCGGTTACTTCCCCTGCCACACATTGAAGGATTACATTCCTCTGGTCTTTCAAATACTGTAAATGGAATTGTAGCTTAGTTCCTTCCTTTGTAGATTCAGGCCAATGCAGATGGAGTTCTTAGTTGGTGCAGATTCCTCCTCTTGCGTAATTAATTCCATGAACAGCAGTGGCATTTTCATATTTACTTGCTGGAGTTTTGACAGATTTTTGATGCCTTTTATCTTTATTTTGGGGATGTCTCAGTCTAAGTCAGATTTTCATCATACATTTCCCCTCCTTAGGAACCTACAGTGTGCATGTGTGCATGCATGCATGTATCCAGTATTCTCTCTTATCTCTGCACATTCATTATCCTTGCTTGGATATACAGTTGTTGGCTGCCTTAAATGAATCCATCTTCCTGTCTGCCTTTGCTTGCTATCTTTTGTTGGTGGAACTCTTTCTTCCAGGATCGCTACAGGAGTGCTTCTTTGCCCACCAAACTGCTTGTCAAAAACTGCCTTTTCTGGAAAACTTTTGTCTTTAAGCCTTTCATTCTCTTTATGTACTGAAATTGTTCACACACTGCTTTGAACCAATACAACTGCAGAAATTAGAGGAGGCACTGTGTGTGCCATCTGATCCTAACTCAAAGCAAAAGGATTGCCGGAAAATAGGTTTTGAGCCGGCTTTGAAAACTTCAGCACCTGAGAGTCTTGATCAGGGATGCTCAATGTGTGGCTGTTGGACCACATGCCTGTTAACCTGATCCTATTTTAGGGTACAGTTGTACATTGGACAAAAGGTGTGTGGGCATATGGATTGAACTGGCCTATAGATATATGGGCTATGGATTTGATTACTGACCCAGAAACCTCCTGTTTAGAACCTACCTAGATTCTAAAATATTCCTTGTTATTCTTGCCTTGATCCCCCTCTGTCTTCCTCTACATGTTTATGTGTAGGGAATTGAATGTGTATGTTTTATTTTAGTTATATTCCTTCTTTCATAAAAGTCCCAGGAGGGGTAATAAGATTAAACAATTACATACCCATAGTAATACTGGAACATTAAGATACAGCAGAGCTAACAAAAGAGCAGAGAAAAGCAAAAACACAGCAGAGATCCATTCATTTTAACTGATGGCCAATTCATGGAAAGTCTTGGCTTTGGGCCAAACTGCTGATAAAAATTGTTTTTGCATTTACATTATTGGTGCTATATAAAAATTTTGCAGATCTTTGTCCATTATTGTCTCAGTCTCATCATGTAGCCAAATAATATAGGCTTTACATTATTTCTTCCCATCTAGCAAGTCCCTAAGAGATGTTCCTACTTGCTAGCAGTAGTGGTTAAAACACTAGATTTGAACCAGAGGCAGATGCAAGTTAAAATCCCTGCTCAACCTGAGTGACTATGACTCTCTCCCTCCCCCCACCCCCACACTACTACAACATTTTTGGAAAGGAATCCATTACTTTTTTAGAGACAAAAAGATGACTGGTCTTATGAGACTAAATAAATGTGCTGGGTGTAATTGCACTGCCTTTCAACAATTTTTAAAATATAATCTAGAATACTTAGTTGTAAAAACAATGAGAAGTGTTACTAACTCCATTTGAATAGGTATCCTTGTTTCTACACTCAAGTATCACCTGGAGAGAACTTTAGCACTTCAAAAACGCCTGTTTCCAAAACAATGTGAACAATTAACTTCAGCATCTTTCAATTTCAAAGTTAAATTCCAAGCTGAGAGTGGATATGTTTGGAATGTGACATGCTTGTCCATAAGCTGGTGTTTTGAGGTTAATCTTCCTTGACTTCACACCCTTTAGACATTATTGGGCTACAACTCCCATTATTCCCATCCTGCATTGCCATTGGATAAGAGGTATTGCAGTCCGTTGCCTTGGGGGAAAATGTCACTTTGGGGAAAGCTGGTTTAGCCACAGTCTCCTTATAAAATGGGACTCAGCTTCTAGAACTGCAAAACAGGGCCCTTTTATGCATCCTTCTACCCACCACTCCACATACATTTCTTATTTCTAGTCAGAGCACAGACATAAACATTGCTGCATACATATGGCAAGTGATGAACAGATGCACTGGCCTAATCAAGTGAAAAAGAATCTGCATGAGAAAAAGAAAATAATCGTTATCACAACATGAAGTTCTTGTACTTCCTGTTCTTCTAGCAAAGGTTTGGCATTATAATGCCTTTTCTAAGTTTGGATGAGGCAGTTTTAAAGAATGATGTTGAGTTTTGTATAAAACCACTTTCTAAGGTTTTTCAGCTAATAACTGGACTTCACCTACCTGGACCTCTTTCCTCATTCATTGTACTTTGAATGATCAATTGCAACAATCTGCACTGTTTGTTTCTCATAACATGAACAAAATATTCTAGTTTTCTGCTTTCCAGGCAGTTCATGATTTCTTAGGTTTTATTCACTTGCCTTTATGTAGCAGCTCCCAAGCTTTCCGGCATCATGCCTCCCTTTCCAAGCCCCTTTAAGATTAAAAATAATATTCAGCTCCTAGTTTCGGATTTAAGACTAGATGAAAATGTCACTTGCCTAATAGGAAAAAAGTAAATAGAAATAGTAAATTTAATGTGAAGAATGATGAAATGTTCAGTCCTTGCAATATTTCTATGGCCCTTCCCAGGAGATGCACCCCTTTATGCCTCAGTTTGAGAGTCAATGGCTTTCTGCTTCTTAGCTGATCAGTTCCTTAACGTAACAAATTCTTCAAATTTAAGCTTTTTTGGTGTAATTATACTCTTCACCTTAAAAAAGCTGTTACAGGCCGTCTCTGTTCTGACTGGCTATGCTTCTACCATTCCTACATTGACACCAAACTGAAACAGTGTCCCCCAAAATAGCTGTGTGATCCATTCACACAAACAAATTTCTGTATTAGGTACCTTAATTGCAATATTAAATAGTTACGACTAAGGCAAACATTTGACCTCTACCAAACTTTAGACCAGGCAGGTAATATAAAGCTTGGGTTTTAAGAGAATATACAACTTCAAATTCTGCTTAAATTTCATGTTTTTACCATCTTTGCCTGTTGAAGCATTCTGCAGAACTCTAAAGTCTGCTTTATGTGTGCCTTTTTAGGTAAAGGTAAAGGTTCCCCTTGACATTTTTAGTCCAGTCGTGGCCGCCTCTAGGGGGCGGCGCTCATCCTGCTTTTCAAGCCATAGAGCCAGCGCTTGTCTGAAGATAGTTTCCGTTGTCATGTGCCCAGCATGACTAGGGAACGCCGTTTTACCTTCCCACCGAGGCGGTCCCTGCCTAATTAAATTGTAAACCGCCCAGAGAGGGCTTGAAGCGCTATGGGGGCGTTATATAAACAGCACACTTTTTTTTTGTTTTTGTTTTTTTTGCTTTTTACTCGCATTTGCATGCTTTCGAACTGCTAGGTTGGCAAGGAGCCGGGACAAAGCGACGGGAGCTCACTCCGTCGCATGGATTCGATCTTACAACTGCTGGTCTTCTGACCCTGCAGCACAGGCTTCTGCGGTTTAGCCTACAGCACCACCACATCCCAAGTGACCTTTTAGTGACCCACAATTTTCCAATAACTAATTAGTCCAAGATATTGTTGGACTTCTAATTCCCATCCACTCTATTTGGTTTTGAGGCATGAGAGGACTTGCAATTCCACCACATCCAGTGGACCACGTCTACTTGATTCCTCCTCTATGCTCTGAGTTTGCAGTCACACTGGCAATAGGAACTGCATTGAAATCTATTTAGAGTTTATTATTTACATGCTGCAAGGACAAAATCAATTAATATGGGCTGCCAATGAATTTTCCACCTGGCTGGCACCTCATTTCTAAAATTGATCCAATTGAATACAGTTTTGTGAGTGTGAACGCTGCTGTGATTTTAGTTTATGCCTGTATAGATTTTGGCTGGCAGGGCACCATCATTTTTCCTTTTACGTTTTTTTGAAAAATTATTTCTTAAATTTTCTTCACTGCATCACTTCATCAATACATTCAGCATTACAATCACCTACCCCATTCTCTCAATTTTGGCTGATGAAGGAGCCGACAGAGCAGCAAAAGACCACTGGGCACAGAAAAGGTGCACCTGGACACAGAGGACGGGCCACATGTCAGAAGCCTTGCCCTGCAAAGGGGCTCAAAGCCTCTTGCCCCCCCCCTCATGTTTTTCTTATCATTAATCAGCCGGAGTCATCCTCTCTGGTGTTTTCTGCCATGGTTTCTAGCGACTATTATGACACCAGGTGGCACCTCTTAGACATTTGATTTATAGATGTGTCACTTTAAAAAAAAAAAGAATCAAAACCTTTAAGAACAGCATGCATCTAAAACAGAAAGAAAATGAGTTGATTTCAGCAGTGTAGAAAACAACATTCAATTAAATCACCAGAAATGAATTGATTTTCATTCAGTACATGTGAACATGATCACTATTTTAAATACCAAGTAACCTGAACTTGATTTTTAAGAAAACGTCTGAACAGAAATTGATTCAAATTGCCAGTGTGACCACAGTCTAAGAGGATACTATTGATCCTAGCCTTGCTTCCTGATATTTTTTTAAACCGGTAATGCTGGAAATTACCTGAGATCTCATGGATGCAAAACCTTTGCTGTCCCATTAAAATTTAGCTCTTTTTTCTTGGCTTTGCCATGACAGGCATCACTAGAACCATACACTGGTTCCACTAAAATCTTTTTCCGTTAAGAAAAAAATACAAGTGAAAAGTTTTTGTGGGAACACAACATTCACATCTGTTTTGTGAGAAAAATTAAGAGAAGGAGCTGACCAGGAAAGAATCTGATCTATAGCAGATGGAAATCCACAGCATTATTCACTAAGCTTTTTGGATTTTCCAAGCCGGCATAATTTACTCATGAGTATTTATCTCTCCAGAAAAGCAAATCATGACAATCAATGCTTGGCATTTGTAGTTTGGCTTTCTCCTTGGTCTTGTTTTGAAAACACTGCCAGGACTGAAAGCCAACACTAGGCTGCCCCCTAATGTTAAAATCCCATCCAAACACAGAGCGGAAGATCAAGAATTAAGGGTTAACACAGATTATGAACTTCCTTAGGAAGCTTTGTTTGTTTATCTTTGAGTGAGGTTTCTCAGCTTCAAAAGTTGGAAATTAGTTGGCTTCATATAGGATTCATTTCCTCTTTGGCTGCTAAGTTATGGGAGCTTTGGAGAGAAGCATTTTATCTGCTTTGAATATCAAAGTTGAGAGCTGTCCTGGTTCTGCCTTCAGTTGTACTTGCATTAGATCAACTGAAATCAGTGAGACTTTGAAACCAGATGGTTTTTGAAATTAATCTCTATCCAACCCAGGGAAAACTGAGATTGGGCCATATGCCAAGAAATCAGCAATCTAGATTCCCCCACATTTCAAGTGATATCCCCACAATATGAGACTGACTTTTAATTGTTTGATGGTTTATAAAAATTAATACTGCATACAGCAAGTCAGCGGTGCAGTAACAACTAGCAAAATGAAGAGAATCACATTTAGAGACATATTTGAAAATGTAATGTGAGTATTATAACATGCTGAAGAGGAAAAAATTTGGTCGCATAAACAAATATCATTCCAAATTTCATATACATAATTTGGAATTATACTTGCTCAATTACAGTACTTTTAAAAATATTTCTCTCTAACCTGTACTAGTGAAAGCAATGAAGTGACTTTGTTCTCTCTTCTTCCTTTTGAATTGTGCCTTTACTGCTTCTTCTTTATTTTTTAATAATAATAATAATAATAATAATAATAATAATAATAATGTGCCGTCAAAGCAATTCTGACTTACAATGTCCCTTTTTCAGTGTTTTCTAGGTAGAGAGTACTCACAAGGGATTTACCATTCTGTTCTCCTGGGGACATCCTGAGACTGTGCAGCTTGCCCAAGGCCACATAGGCTACTGCTTCTGGAATGCACAATGGAGAACTGAATTCCCAGCCTCTAGCTCCATAGCCAGATGCCGAAACCACTGAGCTATCCAGCCAGCTTAATTTATAATGTATTCTCAAAGGCTTTCACAGCCAGGATCTGATGGTTGTTGTAGGTTTTTCAGGCTGTTTGGCCATGTCCTGGAACACAGCCAAATAGCCTGAAAATTTTACAACATTAATTTATAATGTTGTCATATATGCCAATATTGCCCTTTTATGGAAGTTCTCATCATTCTTGAAAACATGCAGTATAGAAGAGGGGAAATTATTTCTCAGTACTTGTCAGGATAGTATGCTTAAATCTTTCTTGTAGAATTCTCTTTTAAAAAAATCAGTCCCTCAGAATCTGGATAATAATGATAGACTCTTGAGTTGAGACGCTTGCACAATCCGGGGCCAATTTGTACCACATGTTGACAGAAATAGAACCATTGCTTGGCTTTCTACTCTTACCAAAATAGCTAGACTATGACTGTTCTTCCTGGCTGCTTCTTGAATTGCGTTCACTCACCTCTCAACCCTCTTGCGTAGCTTGGATAATATTTGACTAACTCAGTGGAAACCAGGACAGTGGCCTGAAGGTCTGGGAAAAAATCATTTAACTGGAGCTCTTTAACCCTGTGGAAATTCAGATACAACATTCTTCCCATATATGTACATATGTAAAACAAAAATGTCTACAAGAAATGAATGTAAAGAACATTACCACCAATAACCATGGCACTAGATTACAAAGAAAAAATCTGCACTATTTTCAGAAGTGAAACTGTTTTGATGAATAAGGCAAAGCAATAATCAGGGTAGGCATTTACGCTTCACCAGAAAGGAGGATATGCATCACCCGCACCTGCCAAAAAAGGACAAAAGGGTACAGACTGGAACACTGCTTTAGACCTGGCCTATGTGTTTCCATGCCTCCAGATGTTTTTTGGATGGCAAGTCCTATAATCCGTCTGGTGTGGTTGCTAGGGCTGATGAATAGAGATGGGCATGATTGGAACTATGAACCTGGGGGGTGGGAGAGAAAAAACATTAACTGGGCTGTTTTGTGGTCCAGTTTGTGCGACCCATTTTGGTGCAACAAAGTGAAGTGTTGAACTTTTTTCCACTTGGTGCTTCATTTTGCTTTGGCAAAATGGATGGCTGTACTTTCCCCTCCCCCATCCCTGGCGCCTCCCTACCTTGTCTTCAAGCTGCCGCCACCGCCACCATCCTGAGAGACAGCTGGCCTGGTTCCTTGCACAGAAGCCACACCTGTCCCCTGTGCACATGCACCCATCGCTCAGTGGACAGACGGGCATATGCATAGGAGCAGCAGGTCCAGCCCCTGATTGTAAGGTGCATAGAGATAAGCATGTGCACCTCCTACCCCACCCCCCGCAACCAAGCACAAGCATTGAAGCAAGCAAATATTTCCTCTGTTTAGACAAACTGCCTGTTATAATTAAGAGCATTTTCTTAGCTTTAAGAATAGCACGAAAAAATTAGTGATTTATGGACAAAGTCTTACTGCCAGTAGTGATGGCTCTCTTCTCCTGAGCTAACATGTGCTGTTTCTTCCTTTAGATCCAGTCAGAAATAATGATGTTGGTCAGCCAAGCTTATCTCCTCTCTGGAGGCCATCTGACTTTGCCATTAAGAATAAAAGTGCATCGTTTGCCTGATCATGGACAATTTGGACAAGTTACATTTGGAAAAGGTCTAAGACGTTCATCCATTTGTAGTATCATAAATATTAACTTTGTGTTTTATCAATAAAGGCTGTGTTTGCATTAGCATGTAATCCTAAAGCTACCATACTGTGCATAGTTATTTATTTTTTCAGATCCATAGCTTACGATGTCACAAGGGCTTCCAAAAAAGTCACATGAATTTCCATGGTTCGACGCAGAAGTGAATATTTATCCCCATCCCTAAGGGCTTTCTAATTTAATGGTGCTTAGAAGTGGAAAATAGTTAATTCAAAAGCTATTTAATGCTTTATCAAATTGCATTCCTTCATGATATTCAGTTTTGAATCACTACAAAATCAATCCAAACCTTTCTGTATGAAGGGAACAATTGTTTTCAGCAGCTGGTATAGTATTCAAATACTATAGTAGCTTTCTTCGCTGTCCCTTTTTTCTTAAACCTCTAAAGATATCAATTAAATTGTTGTTTTGGCTCTGGGCAGCTTCTTGATCAGCATTTCAGACAAGGCAAAGAAAAAACATTTACAAAGTTTATCTAAGTGATGCAGTGCATCAGCGATAGTCTAGCGAAATTAAAAAATAATTGTATTTCCCCTGTCCCTCTGCTAAGGAGCAGGTGAAGTGTTCAGTTTCCCAGTCTTTTGAAGTGGCTTGTTTATTAAACTGGAAATTGACAGGATGCTAGAAAATGTAAGACTTTCTTCTTGGTCTATTCCCAGAGATCGCATGTGCTGAAAATGGATCAAACTAGAGCAAACCGACCTACACAAAAAAACTAGAAGCCTCTGACAGTAGCTCAGAAAAGCAGAGGTAGGGGTGCTCTGGGGACAGATTGGTTCACTATAGCATATTGTCTGAACACCAGGGAAAAAGAGTGAGCTAACCCATCCCTGCAGTGCAAACAGCAGGACAACTATCTGTCGGATTGAGTCCTAACTTGTGAGAATGCAATGGTTTATATTCATGGTTCTCCCTCAAGGAAAAGGAAACATTTCTAGGATGAGAAATTCATTGGGCTCTGCCACTCCCCTTCAGACCTATGGAAGTGGGTGCAGGGTGAGGCTGATGGGAATTGAGGCCCAGCAACATCTGGAGGGTAAGAAGTTGCCCACATGCATTTTAACCTTTTTTTCTCCCCATCCTGAAAAAAATTCCTACACCCAGTTGCTGTTTGGCCCAACATTGCTCCAAGAAGATAGAGAGTTCTTATGAGATTAACTCCAAAATTTGGGTATAGATTAAAGACTTATTTCTCTCATAAAAAATTTACACTCTGGCACTACCTGTCAAGTTAGATCTTCTTAGAAGGGCGAATTAACCAACTAATTTGCAACTAACAACGGGGTGAAGCGAGGATGCATCCTTGATCCCTCCTTGTTCAACCTTTTTATGAATGATCTAGCTCCTTATTTAGCAAACATGGATGGTCACCTTCCCAAATTAGGGGTATACTCTGTTCCACTACTACTTTATGTGGATGATGCTGTTATTATCTCACACTATTACTTTATGTGGATGATGCCGTTATTATCTCACGCACCTGTCCTGGTCTGAAACATTTGATTAATAGCTGTGTGGAGTATTTGGACAAAAACAAAATGCAATTGAATTGCAACAAGTCTAAAATACTGTACTAGTTTTTGCTAAGTCCTGGAAATAATTACAGTGGAAACTAAATGGTAACAATATCAACAAGGACAAATATTTCAGGCTTTCTGTGCAGTCCATACTTCGATTTTATTACAACACTGGCAACCGATATGTCTCAGCAGCACTACAAGTTTTTAAATCTAAAATCTCCCCACAAATTCTGTATGGCATGCCAATTTTCACAAAATGCCATGGATCGCTCAACCAAACAGCTACAATCCCACTTCTTACATAAGGTATTAGGCCTACCGAAGTGTGTTCCCTACTCGGTACTCTGTTTTGAGACCGGACTATCCATACTGCAAACAATGGCATGGTTGTGAACTTTTCAATTCTGGCTAAAAATGTTTTATAACTCAGACCAAGACAGATTATTATATCAGCTTCTCCAAGATTCTGACCCTCCTTTTGGGTGTATTGCCCTTTAAAAAAACTGAAATTGATTGCCTCTTTAGGTTCAGTATGTCTAGAGCTAGCTTTTCAAACAGTTAATTGGTGAATTATGGACATCGAGTTTCAGGAATTATGGAGCGCAACTGATTTGTTCCCCGTTGTCTCTCCACATCCCCTTTAAAATGGGACAACCAGCTGCTTTCCTCATGCTCCTTAAATGTCCACAAAGCCGCAGGGCCTTTTCTCTGGCCAGATGTAACGTCATGCCTGATGCTGTACTGTATGGTCAGAATAACGGAACCCCTTATTCCAAAAGATATTGTCCATGTGAGCAGGGTGCTTTGGAAACCCTCACTCACATGTTCTTGCACTGTCCGCTTCATCAGGACTGCTGCAAAGAGTACATCACCTCGATATTATTACAGCAGGAAGGTAAATCAGATCTGGACAAGGTCTGTTTTATGTTATCAGTGGAGGTGGTTGACATTATGGAACAAGTAGCTGTTTTCCTTGAGTCAATTGTTAGGAGGCGAAGCCTTGAACTCGAACAAATGTATATATTTCCCGCTCCCTGTGAATCCACAAATCACTTGACTATGTCTATTTTATATGCCAGTAAAGGTTTTAATCACTTACAAGAGTTGGTACTTTTTTATTTTTACAGTTTCCCTATTTATTAATTCCTATATCATCCAGTACCTAAAGTTATATTGATATTTATCTGTTTATATATTTACTGTATGTCTGTGCCACCCAATAGCTGAAGTTCCCTCAGTGCTTCACATAACAGAAATTGAAACCAGAGATATGAAACAGAATAAAACATTTATTTTTTATTTATTTGATTTATTTGATTTGGTCAACCACTCTGGGAGGCTTCCAATAAGGTGTATACGATAAAACATAGCATTGAAATCTTTTTAAAAAAATTAGAAACATAAACATGGAGATAGTGTTAGGTACTGGATGATATAGAAATTAATAAATACATGAAGAAACTGTTTTTAAAAATGCAGTGGAAATATCCTTTTTAGAAAATATGAACAATAACAGCATTTTTTTATTTATTTAAAATATTTTTACCCCTCCTTTCTGCTAAAAAAGGACCCAAGGCAGCTTACATCATTAAAAAGAAAATATTAAAAGCTAAAAACAGCAACTTATTCAAATATTAACAAGAATTAATAACATTATATACATTAAAACATGAGGCTAAATCTGCCTATTCTTGCACAGACTAGCATGGCTACCTCTTCCAAGACTACAATTATATTACATAAGAGCATTACTAAAAACACATTTAGAAACAACAAAATACAACCATCCCATTTACAAACCTAGTAGCTTTCCTCAGACCAAGCAACAATTGGGATAGATTTTTGTTGGAAATCAAGCATGCTGGTGGGAGGACTAATAACACCCCCAGCACCACACGCTCACAACCATCCCACACAGCTGCTTTTTAAATAATGAAAACGGATCATGTCAAATGCAGTTGTGCCTTTCATATGTCATCTAGTTGAGCTTTTCTTTTTGAATAAACATGCTTAGGACTCGACTACAGTATGATAGTTGCCTTATGTTCTCATGTATGAATTGCGTATTCTATGTTAATATGTACCTGACCATTAGCTACTAGAGTCATAGCATTACAAAATATATGGTAATTAATGCTTTGTTAATGCTTTCGTTCTCATCTTGGCTTCTATTTTAACAGTGGCACGCTCACTCCCGGCCTCGAAGTTCTAGTCGCGAGAGCCTGGTTTCGGTAAAGTCTGATAAGTGCACGTAAAGGATTAAGTTCAAAAAGGAAGAGAGAGAAAACGGTTACAACACAGCTGAGAATGACTCAGTACAACTGGTCTGCACAATGGACTTTCCAGAGCATGTCAAACATGTCTCTCAACAGCAGCGAAATACCAGAGGAATGGGATGAGGGAACTATACTGGGACTAAAAGTTTCTCTTGCCATCATCTTGGCTTTCATCACTTTGGCAACAATGCTGTTCAACATGTTTGTAATCATTACAATTATCCTTACCAGAAAGCTCCACACCCCTGCAAATTACCTCATTGGCTCCTTGGCTGCCACAGACCTGTTAGTGTCTGTCCTCGTCATGCCGATCAGCATCGCTTACACCGTCAGCCACATCTGGACCTTTGGCCAGATCATGTGCGATATCTGGTTATCCTCAGACATCACCTGCTGCACAGCTTCCATTCTGCACCTTTGTGTTATTGCCTTGGATAGATACTGGGCCATCACAGATGCTTTGGAGTACACCAAACGCCGGACTGCGAGCCGAGCAGCCCTCATGATAGCCATTGTTTGGGTTATTTCCATTTGTATCTCCATGCCGCCCCTTTTCTGGAGGCAAGCCAAGGCTCATGAGGAACTGGCATCCTGCACCGTGAACACAGATCAAATATCCTACACTGTCTACTCTACCTGTGGCGCCTTCTATATCCCTTCACTGTTGCTCATTATCTTGTACGGTAGGATTTATGTGGCTGCCCGATCTCGGATCCTGAAGCCGCCATCCCTCTATGGAAAGCGGTTCGCCACAGCCCACCTCATCACTGGTTCAGCAGGCTCTTCTCTCTGCTCCATTAGCTCAAGCCTTCACGAAGGGCCTTCTCATTCCAGCAGTTTTCCAATGCTGATCAACCATGTCAAAATCAAAGTCAACAATAGTGTCCTAGAGAGGAAACGGATTTCTGCAGCTCGAGAGAGGAAGGCCACAAAAACGCTGGGAATTATTTTAGGGGCATTCATTGTCTGCTGGCTACCATTCTTTGTGGTGTCTTTGTTAATGCCCATCTGTCAGGATGCCTGTTGGACACATCCTGTCCTGTATGACATCTTCACATGGCTAGGTTACTTGAACTCCCTCATCAACCCTGTGATCTACACTGCTTTTAATGAAGACTTCAAGCAGGCGTTTCAGAAAATGATACGATTCAAAAGATGTTCCTAGCCATCTGTTTTTTCCCCCAAAGCATTCAGTATATAAGATTCAGTTTACCTGTGATTCCTGTGCATTCAATGATAAATTGTTGCCCTCATAGTCCCCTGGGCTGTGTTCAGACAATGATATCTCAGTGTATTAAATTAAAATACTAATGAAACTTTGGGCTGCACAAGCAACACTGTGCTTCACAGGAGTGCACAAACAAGATCAGGATTTTTTAAAAAACATTACCTATAGTTTCTTGTTTCCTTCAATAATGGTTAACCACTTCAGCACAAGCCAGTATATGAAACCAAGGTTTGAGATATAGCTTGATGTCCCGTCTCGTTCCACAGCTGTTAATCGCAGTTGTCCGTAGAAATGTGAAAATCTGTCAGTCTCACTTTTGTTGTGTTTCTCAGAATAATGCAAGCATTTCTTGTCCCATCCAACTTGTGTATTAGATTGCAAAACATTTTCCTTTGCAATACAGAAATGTATTGCGTTGTTACACACATATTTTCACATTTTCTTCACTGACTACAACATGACCGAGTACATCTTTTAAATATGCACATTTTTAGTACTGTGTATTTTTCAAATGTAAGTGTTGCATTGTGTGCATTTTGTGTGTGTTCATATGCCTTAGAAATGTTTGCGTTTCCAAAGCAATATGTGCTTTTTTCAAGTGTCAGTCTTGGGAGATGAAAAATGTATATTTTCTTATGGACACGTAAACTCCATAAATGTCTTTTCCCATCTGTAGCTGCCCAGGTCAAATGAAATGGGGAATCTGTAGTTTATTTAAAGTTCCAGACTCATTGGCTCATTGAAGATGGAAGCGAAGGAATCATGACTTAAACAAGTGTTTTGCAGTACGTGACTTTTTTGCTGGCCTTTTTTTTGGCTCTTTGAGATTATGAATGCCTCTTAAGAGGTGCTGGTATATAAAGTGATCTTGATTATCTGCAAATCAGGAGTTGGCAGGAGAACTGGAACAAATGGCTTGAAATGAATAATGAAGAAGCAGATTCATTATTTACTGGTAGTATGATAACAATATTCTAATTTTTATTTTATTGTAAATTATACAGGAGCAGAAAAGTTTCAGTTCGCATTCCCCTCCCATGTAGAGCCTGGGGTTGGTAATGACAGTCTAATGCCCAGGGTTTATTTGTGTGTTTTAAGGATTGCAGAACAAGTTGTATGAAGCACTTCGAGCCTTGGAGAAAATTGCCACATAGTTCCTAAATGGTAGTATTGAGTTGGAGCCAGACTTGATAAATCAATGGAACTTCAGGCATCCCCCTCAACATTAAACCTCGCTGAGTGCCACAGGTCTGTTCTAAGGAGCAATTTATATTTCTGTGGGTCCCTCGTTGTAGTTACAGCAGTTCTGTGAAATACACAGAACCTGTGGGCAGCACTGGGCTTCCTTAAAATTCCTTTCAGCTCTACTCAGGTCAGGCAATGGGGAGGAATTATGGGAGTTGCTGTTTAAAAAATATTGAGGTGGGCACAGTCCACCAATCCAATGCAGGAAATCCACTATGGATAGAAAGAGATGAAAAGGATGTACTACATGCTATCTCTCACAGTTACGTAGTTCTCATCAATATCATCAGTTCTCTTTTAGATCTGGATGTTTGCCAAATGTTTCATGTAATAGGAGAGTGCAGTTTGAAGTGATTTTTCTGCATTTTCTCATGTCAGATGAACTACGATTGAAACCCAGTATCTCAGCAAAATAAACAGCATGAGAAATTATTTTAACTATGTGTTTTGTTTCTCATTTCAGTGCCTTTATTCTCACCCCCCCCCCTTATCTGATACTAGAGGTTGGAGCAAATACATTTTCTAAACATCATTTATGACACTTATGTCCTGTATTCACACAGAACGCTCCGTTTTCTCCCACCTGCAATACTAAATGTAAACGGCCCTTCTCTCAGCATTGTTACAGAGACCGAGGCTTCCAGTGCATCTTCACAATCTCTTTTCTCAACAGAGAATACATGGAGAAGTTCTGTGGGACCTTGCTATGGGAACTGCCTTAAAAGCCTTCCAGGAGCATCTGGGTAGCCACTGCATGAACAGAATTCTGAGCTGGATCAGTCAGATGAGGAAGGCTGTGGCCTTCAAGACATTATTGAACATCAACTTTAGGCATCCCTAGTTTACTATAATTTATTTTATTTTTATTTATTTATTGGACCAGACATTACTGAACGTCAGCTTTAGGCATCCCTAGTTTACTATAATGACGAGAGTTGCATTGCTGATAACGTTGGGAGGGCTACCCATTTTTTTATTCCTCAGATGAGAGTTGCATTGCTGATAACGCTGGGAGGGCTACCCATTTTTTTATTCCTCAGATAGGATTTTGTTCTTATCCAGCAAAGCACTTCTTATGTCCAAGCACTGAATGATGGTCTCTTCTCAGTGATCTACAGCTATTGCATATTTAACAGGTGTGGCACCCAGTCAGTCAATTTATTGCCTATGACCTTAGAATATTGTGAAACACAAGGTGCATGTACATGTGTAGAAGACAGAATCTTTGTCAATGAAACTTGTCACAAAGGTGTAATAAAAGTTGTCCAGTTCCCCTCACTATAGAGTAGTGGTTCCCAATCTTGGGTCCCCAGATATTCTTGGACTACAGCTCCTGGAAATCCTGGCACAGCACAGCTAGTGGTGAAGGCTTCTGGGAATTTTAGTCCAAGGTTGGGAACAACTGCTATAGTTTAATGCTTGTTATGTTATCGTGTTTCTTTTTATGTGTGACACAGGAGTGAGCTATTTGTCCCTCCAGATGTTGGACTGCAACTCCCATCATGCCTCACCACTGGCTATGCTGACTGGACCTGATGGGAGTTGTAGCCCAGAAAGGCCTGGAGGACATCAACTGTTAATCCTTAGTGTAATATAATACAATATTTATTTTAAAAGTTGTACATATGGAAATAATCTTTTCATACCATTAAGTATACAAGAGTTTTGTCTTTTTAAGTATTTGGGACACAAACTCATTTCAGCTCAAAGTTCCATCTGGGTAACCATGTTATTCTGTTGCAGCTAAAGAACTTTGTAATTCCCTAAGACTAAGTATTAATTGGCACAAGTATTTGGACTTGAAAAAATGGACTGCATTCCAAAAAGCTTGTACGCCAAGTAAAATTTGTTTTTAAGGAATCTTTATTGTTAAATCAAAATCATTTCCATGTTGGTCAGTGCAATAATTATTATTTTGTAATTATGTAGTAATTATCTTGCGTCAAGAGATGGCGTAGTTTGCAAGGCTTCTGAACACTGATTCTGCATTGCTTTCCTGAAGTTGGTGTGTTAAAGGAAAAACGGTGACAGCTAACAAAACCAAAGAAATAAAAGCCAATTGTTCTTCCAGTGCTTGAAACACTGGATGTCCATTGAAGCCCCTTCAGCCATTATATCATCATCATCATCATCATCATCATCATCATCATCATCATCATCATCATCATCATCTTAGAACTGTAGATCTGGAAGAAACCCTATGGATCATTGAGTCCAGCCCTTGTCAAGGAGGCACAGTCAGGAACTGAGGTCCCAACATCTAGACACCTGCACCACAGAGCTATCCTTCAGTTCATACCTAAAGCCCTTTCAGCCATTGTTCATTAAATACTATTACCGGCCCAGTGCATACATCTATTTACTAGTGAAAATAGCTGTTGGGAAAAATACCAAAGCAAGTTGAAACCCGCCACCAGTCCTTGGCAAAATACTTTGTGATGGGCCTCCTTCTTTGTAAGGAGGCCTTGGTGGACTTACCTAATGACAGGAAGAAACAGTGGATGTGCAAAGCCCAGAAGCAAAGTATCATCATCATTTTAATTTTCAATGTGCCCTAGAGTGACATGGCACTGGGCCGGACCCAATGTTATGTAAGCAGAAGTCTGCTTGCATGATGGCACCTCTTCTGTTCCTGAGCAGGTCCTCGCAGCTCCCTAACAGAAGTCCCTAACTGACAGAGCAGATTTTGAGGCCTCCAACAAGCAGAAAAACCTGTTTGGAATCTACCCATTGGGAATTTTAAACGGCAGCTAGCCCCAAGTTCTTGGCATTCCATAGATGCCATGTAGAGGAAAAAAAACTTAAAAGCAGGGGCATGGCTGGCAATGGGTAGCAGCTCTTTGAAGATCTTATTGATTTATTGATTCTATTTTCCAACTGCCCTATAACAGAAGTTCACTGACCATGTACTAAAGAATGAAATATATAAAATACAAACTCAACAATAATTATAAAGAAGATACAACTTGCAGCCAAAATAAAAACATTGCAACATATAAAACCAAAGTAAAATCAATAACAAAGTCAAAAAGCATGATGAAGTATGCACACATAAAGATTAGTAGAATGTGTTGGAAAACAAAAGTAAGTTATATGTACATGTACAGTTTAACCTCTACTTAAGAACTTAATCCGTTTTGGAATGGTGTTCTTAAGTTGAAACGTTCTTAAGTTGAAGCAAAATTTCCCATAGGAATGGACTGAAAACTAATTAATCCGTTCTGGCTGTTTTTTGTTATGTAGAGGTGCGTTTGTACATTGAAGCATTAGTTCCCATAGGAACTAATGCAAAGCTGGTTAATATGTACTCTACCACTAGGGGGAGAATTTTTTTTAACCTAAGATGACCTAAGGTTAAAAAAAGAGCAGGAAAGGTTTTTTTTCCTGTTCTTATCTTGGATTTCTGTTCTCAAGTAGAAGCAAAATTTAGCAAATGGAGCTGTTCTTAAGTTGGATTGTTCTTAAGTAGGGACGTTCTTAAGTAGAGACCCCACTGTATATCACACACACAAAGAATGTGGCAAGTGAGCCTTTCTCCATTCCAATAACGGTGCCACTGCTGAAAAGCCCCTCTCTCATAGGCACCTGCTTTGTGTCATTTGTCCAAGGTGCCTGGAGAAGCCTTGGTCTTTGGGGTCTGGATAGTTAGAGGAGTGAAAGTAGTTTTTCAGACACTGGCTGCTGGTAGAGGCTCCGCGTGTAAAGAACCCGAAGCTTGGATTCGAGATTCTACATAAACCTCAGTGGTAGAGAACTGGCTTTGCATATGGAGGGCACCTTGTTGAATTCCAGGTATCCTCACTTAAAAGATAATCAGTTTGGGTGAATAAGGGACTGCCAGTCAGGGTCAATGTTATTGTGCTGTTGAGCTAGATGACTGACCAGCATATGCTACAGAGCAGTTTCTTGCTAAGATTATCTTTCTCACATACCATTGCAATAGAAATACAGAATACAAGGGTGTCAAAAGATCCTTCCATTGAGCATCTTACAATGGGTATTTTGTTTGTTCGTTTAAAGCCCTACACAGAATTGCTTACTCATCCATAATGTGCTTCATCTAACAAACAAGTAAAAATACAGCTGTGGAAATGTGGAAGAAATGGATAAGTATTAATGCTAGGTTTGGGTGCTACCCACGCTTTGTTCACATGGAATCTAGCAAGCTGTTGAGGATGTTTTCAATCACTATATACTTTGTATTTTAAAGAGAGGAGATTGGGGAAATGTTGTAGTAGTCTGGCAACATTGCTAATGCTTTTATTTCAGCCATTTTGGGCTCAACTTATCTTTTTTCTTTCCTCCTGTTGGTAAAGGTAAAGGTTCCCCTTGACATTTAGTCCAGTTGTGTCCAACTCTAGGGATTGGTGCTCATCCCCGTTTCCAAGCTGTAGAGCCAGCGTTTGTCCAAAGACAGTTTCCGTGGTCACATGGCCAGCGTGACTAGACACCGAATGCCATTACCTTTCCACTGAGGTAGTACCTACTTATCTACTCACATTTTTATGTGCTTTCGAACTGCTAGGTTGGCAGGAGCTGGGACAAGTGACGGGAGCTCAGTCGCATGGATTCGATCTTACGACTGCTAATCTTCCCACCTTGCAGCACAGAGGCTTCTGCGGTTTCACCCACAGCGACCCCCACGTTCCTCATGTTGCTTGATGCCAAATGCTACCCTGTTGTCTTATCATCTTCTGATGTTGGGCCACAATGGCAACTGGCCACAAAACCAGAGGCACATATTATGTGTTAGAATATTTCCTATCCACATGTTCTGTGTTAGCATGGGGACATGCATGTTGCAGTGTCATAGCAAAATACACCCAGAGAGCAAAACACATCCAAAAAGAAAGTTATATATCTGGCCTTTGAAATCAGTTGACCTACACTAACTTCTCTCTAACCTATTAATTACCCTGTTTGGAGATGATGGGAGTTGTAGTCTAATATCTGTGGAGGGCACCAGGTTGGGGAAAGCAGTAAGAAATTGAGCTAAACAGATTTGTGAACCAAAATCCAAATTACCCTTTGGTTAATTGCACAAGGATAAAATAAGCCTAACTTCCTACAATGGATTCTGCTAGGCAACTCCCACTCCCCACCCACCCTTGACCCTTCACTTGAAGTACAGCGAAATGGCATAAAAATCCATTTCTTTTTGCTAACTTGTTAGTGCACAGAATCGAGAAACCAGGAGATGGGGATGCTTGAAATACAGGGGACCTCTCAAAATACAGAGCTGCCAAAAAGAAGCTAAATTATGCCATCAAAGCAATACATGCCATAAAAAAGACTCTGTGCTTTTCACATATTATATGGTAGTGATGTGTTATTGCTTCTTAAATGGTGGAAGCCATTCATCTTGTTGCAGATGCTCCATTTCTCCTTGTGCTGGCTTAAGCAGGGATGCTCTGGGAAAAGATCATTATGAGAACCGCTCTATTTTTGCCCTTTGGAAAGATTATCTAGATTC